GGACCGGGTCTGGTTGGCCACGACAAACCTTAAGATGATATGCCCATCGCGGAAATTGGGACCGAGATTTATGGGCCCATTCCAGGTAAAGAGGAAGGTTAACGAAGTGGCGTACGAGCTCGTACTCCCGGAATCCTTTAGAATACACCCGGTATTTCATGTATCGCTGTTGAAACCCGCGGCACCGGACCCATTCCCGAACCGGAGATCTAGGCCTCCTGACGCCATAAACGTTGATGGGGAGGAGGAATTCGAAATTGAGACAATTCTAGACTGTAGGAAGAGGGGGGGTCAGACCCAGTTTCTCATTAAGTGGAAAGGGTATGGTCCAGAGGAGAACTCATGGGAACCCTCCCAGAACATTCATGCCTCTAGATTGATTCGGGATTTTTTTGACAACCACCCACGCAAGAGAGAACTGTTGGGCATCCGGCGGCTGCCCGTAGGGGGGGGGCAATGTCAGGATCCAGGTGTTCTGCGGCATCGCGTCGGGCGGCGCATGCGCAGAACACCCACTCTCTCTACCCGGCGGGCGGTAGGACCTGGCCGCGCATGGCAGCGGCGGGGTTCGCGCATGCGCACTCGGGATCACGGACGCGCGCCTGGCACCAATGACAGCGGGAGGCGGGCTATTTAAACGCAGGAACAGGTATGTTAGTTGCCGTTTGGTCTTGTATCCTGTGTCCTGTATCCTGTTCCTGTGTTGCTGTATACTCCGTTGCCGACCTCTGCTTGTTCCTGATCCTGCTCTCTCCTGTTTGACCCCTGGCTTGCCTGACTACTCTTCTGTCTGATTCCTGGTACTGTATTTGCCCGCATCCTGCTGAACCTGGCTTGTGACCTGACCATTCTTAGCTCGCTCCTCTGTACCTTGTTGCCCGCATAATACCGACCGGCCTGTCTGACCACGCATACCGTATCCATCCATCCATCCATCCATCCGGTTTGGGTCAGACCTGTGTATCTGTCTGCCTCTTCCAAGTAGATTCCGTTCCTGCACTCCCCTGTCAGTATTCTCTACCACCGCAGGACGCACTCGGGGGTCGCGACCTGGTTTCAGTCTGCACCAAGTCCATCCCCACCATCAGGGGCCCTGGTGAACAGCAGGCTGGGACTTAGACCCCGCGCCCTGGGAGCGTCCGTGCGGTGGGCTGCTAGATTTAGCTGGGAGGGAGCCCGCCCCTCCTTAAATTGTTACTAAACCCAGGAGCCTGCATTCACTATATCTGGTCTCCCACAGTACACAGAGCATGGAAATGCAATTGTTTTAGTAAACATAAACTGCTAAACACCTTTTCTCATCTGCAGTTAGAGCAGTCTTGTGACTTCTATCAGTGTCCAGTAGAGCACTGGTTAAAGCTTGTAGGAAGAGTTTTCTTTCTGCTCTAGGAGGATGCAGAACCCCTGACCTCTGTATGGACAGTGGTGATCGGCCCTGTGCTGATACTCTCCAAAGAAAAAAAAAAAATCTACCAATACACACCAAACTGAGCTTGTACAGAGTATCTCCACACGATATGTATTATCAGGAGATAAGAGAGGGGCACTGGAAGAAGGGGAGAATTAGAGAAGTCAGGATCAAACATTCTTTTTATACAATGCAGAGGATTAACCCCTTTGGTTCTATAGTGGGTATAACAAGCATACTTTACTACATATACAGACTGATTTTACTGTTGTGGTTTTAATAACACTTTAAAGGCACAGAGGTGCACTGGACACCCATTATGTAGCACAATGGCAGCTAAGGTGTCCAGTGCACCTCTCTCCAGTATATCAACAGTACGAACAAATGGCAACTGCCTCAGTCTATAACTGGCCTTTGCAGCAAGGAGCACATGGAAGGGCGACGCATGTCAAACAACAAAAACTAAATATTTTCACCTCAACTTACCTCACCTCTATATTATGCAGGCCATATATGGGGAGAAAAACCGGCCGATTTTTCTTTAAAAAAACGAAAAATCAGTCGTTCAAGCGGCCGACGTTACCAGGAATGGAAAAAAAAAAAAAAAAAAAAAAAAAAAAAATCGGCCAATTTTCATCCCGTCTACAGCCGGCAAAAAGTGTCCCTGCAGAGAGCTCCGCTATTTCTTTGACAGTTCTTTGACATTTATAGCGGTTGCAACAATGTATCTATTTGTATCCATTTAGGATACAGATGTTTTTATTCGGAAACCAATAGATACAATGTTGCAACCGCTGTAAATGTCAAGGAACTGTCAAAGAAATAGCGGAGCTCTCTGCAGGGACACTTTTTGCCGGACTGGAATTCCTCTTCTTCTTCATCCTCTTCTTCTTCACAGCAGATCAACGATTGTGGTAAAGATCTGATGATGTAGGCTCTTTACCATGTAATCAGCTGTGTCCAATCACAGCTGATCACATGTAAACAGGAAATGCCAGTTATCAGCAGTCCTTTCCTCATGCTGGTAGCGCGTGAGGAAAGCTGATAAGCGGCAATCCTCAGAGGGTACATCTACACTGATAATCACGGCACTGTATCATCGGGGCCCTGACTATCAGTACAGCTCCTTCAGTGCCCATCAGTGATGCCTCTCAGTTAGGGTTGCCACCTCATCCCTTTAAAACAGAACACATTAATTACACAGGCTCTGAGGCTAATTTAATGCAGTTAAGGGACTAAGTGAGTTTAACTGCCACCCAGCCACAGAACCTGTGCAATTAATGTGTTCGGTTTTAAAGGGATGAGGTGGCAACCCTACTCTCTGCGTCCATCAATGCTGCCTATCAGTGCCCATCAGTGCCGTCTATCAGTACACATCAGTCCCACCCATCAGTGCTGCCTGTCAGTGCCGATCAGTGATGCTAGTCAGTGTCACTTCATCAGTGCTGCCTGTCAGTGCCCATCAGTGATGCCTATCAGTGCCTCTTCATCAGTGCCACCTATCAGTGCATCCTCATTAACGCATATCAGTGAAGGAGAAAAATTACTTATTTACAAAATTTTGTAACAGAAACAAAGAAAAACTTTTTTTTCCCAACTGTGTGGTCTTTTTTTGTTTGTTTAGCAAAAAGTGAAAAATCCCAGTGGTGATTAAAGAACAAATAAAGAAAGCTCTGTCCATCTCAAAAAATGATAAAAATGTCATAAGGGGTGAAAGTGCCCAGTAGGCAAGTGGTTAAAGCGGTAGTAAAATCTCAAAAAAAACCTTTTCCCCTGCAAGGCAATGTCATAATGTGCTGGTATGCACTGCATACCGCGCATTAAGTGAAACTTACCTGACACCACTGACAGGGATTCCGTTTTCACTTGGTCCCTTTTCTGGGTTCGTGGGCTCCAGCAGCTTGAATGGCCGAGCTGCGATGACATCACTCCCATGTGTGCAGGATACACTTTTTACAGCACGCAGGTCTGAAGGATTGGCACAGGCATACTGTTCCTTCACAAGTAAATATCTCCTAATCAGTGCATGTTCAGGAGATATGTACAGTGCCTACAGGTAAGCTTTATTATTGGCTTTCCTGTAGGTAGAAGGTAAAAAGCAGACTTTAGTCTAGGTGCACACCTATGCGTCTTCCGTTGCGTTTAACATGATTTCCTATGGGACACGTTCACATCTCATGGTTTCACCCGGACTTGCAATTTTGCAATGTTGCAATTTTGGTTCAGTAGACTTCAATGGAGACACTGCAGAAATACATGTAGTGCGTTTTTGATGCATTTTGTGTTTTAGTCTGCCCAGCAAGTTGGAAAAAAAAAAAAAAAAAACACAAAATACATCAAAAACGCATGTGCAAAATTGCAAAAAGCACTGCAGAAACAGATCAAACGCAAACTGCATAGGTGTGAACCTACCCTTACCCCCAGCTCATATCTGTGGGGGTGGTGCCGCTGCCGGACCCGCACAAATGTCTGCAGCCGCACCACCTGCACCGAGGAATGCGGGACCCGCACAAATGTCTGCAGCCGCACCACCCGCACGGAGGAATGTGGGACCCGCACAAATGCCTGCAGCCGCACCACCCGCACCGAAATGCGGGACCCGCACAAATGCCTGCAGCCGCACCACCCGCACCGAGGAATGCGGGACCCGCACAAGTGCCTGCAGCCGCACCACCCGCACCGAGGAATGCGGGACCCGCACAAATGCCTGCACCGCACGAGAGGAATGCGGGACCCGCACAAATGCCTGCAGCCGCACCACCCGCACCGAGGAATGCGGGACCCGCGCAAATGCCTGCAGCCGCACCACCCGCACCGAGGAATGCGGGACCCGCGCAAATGCCTGCAGCCGCACCACCCGCACCGAGGAATGCGGGACCCGCACAAATGCCTGCAGCCGCACCACCCGCACCGAGGAATGCGGGACCCGCACAAATGCCTGCAGCCGCACCACCCGCACCGAGGAATGCGGGACCCGCACAAATGCCTGCAGCCGCACCACCCACACCGAGGAATGCGGGACCCACACAAATGCTTGCAGCCGCACCACCCACACAGAGGAATGTGGGACCGCAGCCGCACCACCCACACAGAGGAATGTGGGACCCGCGGGCGGGTGACATTACTTCTAATGGCACGCCGCCTGTACTGGAAATCGCAACCATACTGGGAACCTCAGCTCCCGTGCGGGCTGCGATTTCCGAAGTAGTGCAGGGACTTCCTCCTTGTGTATCATGGGGCACAGGAATCTATTCAAATGAATGGGCTCTCGTGTCCACTGCGGCCCACATGGCTACACAGATGTGAACCAGGGCTTACTACCACTTTAAGCTGCGTTTCTCCTGCCAGGTGTACAAGACGTTCAGGGCAGTGTGTGTGAGGTCTCAGTTACAACAATGGGTGAATGTTGGGTGAAAACACTGATAAGCAGACCACATTGAAGCAATGGAGGACAGTCTGGGGTCTATACTATCTGTCACCAGTCATGGGTAGGATGGGTAGTCCTATCCCCGGGTATGAACACTGCTGGTGGCCCTCCTCTGCTGCAGGTCCTCACTAGTGTTGTCCCTCAGCTGGTCCCCCCATCAGATACCTCCGGAAGTTCTTAGGGGAGAAGCTCAGATCCAGACTCTGCAGCCATCGGAGGACATCTCTGGGCACGCCGGTTCTACGCGGGGCTTCGGGATATGAGGAGGACATGGAGACAGCAGAGCAGTACAATCCCACTGCACACTGAGCCGAGCCGCGTTCTCCGCTTCCATAGCAACCGCTGCCATGCCTACAGAGCAGGAAGCGCTAGGACCAATCACAATGCAGCTCTATAGTTCTGCCACCCCCCCCCTCTCCTTGCACATTTGCTTTGTAAGAAGCTGATTCCGGGTCATGTGACTGGTGATGGCCAGAATTGTATAGGAGAGAGCAGGGAGGCGTGGCTTGTGTGTGAACCTGTGCTCAGCTCTCAGCGCAGTCTGCTCATACTTTCTCCCACAGAAATTCGTCACCTTTGTGCTACAATTCATAGTACAGGTCATGGTGCAGTGGGGACACACACTGCGCCTCATTTAACCTCTTCAAGTCTGGACCAATTTTTAGCTTTCAGTGCTGTCACACTTTGACAATTGTACGGTCATGCAACACTGTACCCATATGCATTTTTTAGAATTTTTTTGAGACAAAATATTCTTTTGTTGATATTTATTTCACTTGGTTTTTTATTTTGTGCTATTTAAATGAAAAAGACCAAACATTTTTTTAAAAAAAAGTTTTTTTTTTCCTATAACATTTTGTAAATAAATAATCTTTCTTCATAAATCTTGGCCAAAATGTATCCAGCTATCTTTTTGGTAAAAAAAAACCCAAATCAGTTAATAAAAAAAAATATATATATTTTAAAAAATTTGTTTTACATTTTTATTTTATTTTTTAATATTAATATTTGTTTTTTTTTTTTTTTTACATACTGTTACCCTAGCAGTACAGTGTCATTATAATGACACTGTACTACTTGGGGGGGAATGATTTATTTATTTTTACACTGATTGCTTGTACACTGATAAAGGCTGTAAAAACAATAATTTCTCCTCTCTGGGTGCATTCCTGCAGCCATTGAGAAATACTGTGCGAGCTGTGATTGGTCACAGCTTGTCACATGGTACAAGGCTGTCGTGAATAGCCTTGTACCATGTGACCTGTGTGATCATTCACAGAATTCACAAGTAGTAAACAATGTCAGGAAGTGACATCTTGTTTACTGCTGTTCATATGATTGCTGATTGGCCAATCAGTGATCACATGAATCAGGACCTCACACGGCGGTCCTGTACATCGATCTGTGTGGACACAGCAGGCACAGATCGCTGTGCTGCATGCTCCCAGGGTGCATGCACACAGGCAATGGATGCGGGGGGATGTTTAGAAATGTCCCCCAGCATCGGCAACACTTCCGTCTGGCCGTTTTGCGGCATGAGCCGGACAGGAAGAGGTTAATGAGCCAAACATGACCTCAACAAAAGTCTGTCCAAAAACTAGCACTCTGAGTGATGGGTGCTGTCCTGCATATAATATAGAAAGCATGGCAGATTTTCTAGGTTCTTTCTTCACTACATAGCTGTGTGGAAATCTAGACATGTGCAACGCACCACACTGCATGCCTGCTGTGCCGCATAGGCCCCGTTCAGATATCACCTAGCTGAAACAGGCGTTCCTGCTTGTGATTTGTAAAGCGTGATTTACACACAGAAACACGTATCATGCATAGAGCAGCCCACTCACTTCAATTGGCTGCCCTGTATGCCTTTGTCACCCAATGGAAACTCCAATCCTTTTTGAGCGACAAGCTTAGCGTGATTTTTAACCGCGCATTTTGCTGTGACTGTCACAAGATTCTGTTGCATGACAATCACAGCAGAATTTCTCTGCGTTTGAGTACCATTAGGAATAAGGGGTTTGTCGTGATTTGGAATCGCAGTCAGAATCGCTGCAGTTCTGCCCATGATTTCCAATTGCCTTATGTGAATGGAACCTACAGGGTTAATTCACCTTTAGCAAAAACTGCCTATGCAGGTAAGGGGTGTCTGTAGCTAAAAACAAACTGCAGCTCTGACTAACGTTGGATAAAAACCTTACTATACAGCCGTGGTGAAACGTTTTGAGAATGATGCATAGTTATATAGTTAGTCTGGCTGAAAAAAAGTCAAACGTCCATCCAGTTCAACCAAAAAAGAAGTTATAATCCTATACCCACAGTTGATCCAGAGGAAGGCAAAAACCCCAGCAAAGCATGATCCAATTAGCTCCTACAGGGGAAAAAGTTCCTTCCTGATCCCCCGAGAGGCAATCTGATATTCCCTGGATCAAGTTTACCTATAAATGTTAGTAACCAGTTATATTCTGTGTATCTAAGAAAGAATCCAGGCCTTTTTTAAAGTAATCCACTGGGCTGGCCAGAACCAACTCCTGAGAGAGTCTATTCCACATTCTCACAGCTCTCACTGTGAAAAAAAAACATTTCCGTTTTTGGAGGCAATTTCTTTTCCTCCAGACATAAAGAGTGCCCCCTTGTCCTCTGTGATGACCTCAGGGTGAATAGCTCTACACCAAGTTAACTATATGAACCACTGATGTATTTATACATGTTGATCATATCCCTCCTAATCTCCTCTTCTCAAGAGAGAATAAATTCAGTTCCTCTAATTTTTGCTCATAGCTGAGCTCCTCCATGCCTCTTATCAGTTTGGTTGCCCTTCTCTGTACTTTCTCCAGTTCCCCAATGTTCTTTTTTTGAATTGGTGCCCAAAACTGAACTGCATATTCCAGATGAGGTCTTACTAATGATCTGTACAGGGGTAATATGATATCTCTCTCTCTGGAGTCTATACCTCTTTTAATACAAGAGCTTTAGAAACCGCATCTTGGCATTGCATGCCATTATTATGCTTGTGATCTACCAGAACCCCCAGATCCTTCTCCACCATTGATTCCCCCAGTTGTACTCCCCCTAGTATGTATGATGCATATATATTCTTAGCCCCCAAGTGCAAAAGCTTACATTTATCAACATAAAACCTCATTTGCCACATAGCTGCCCAATTAAACAGTGCATTGAGGTTGGCTTGTAAATTGGATACATCCTGTAAGGACATTATTCCACTGCACTGCTTGGTGTCATCTGCAAAGGCTGAAATGGGATTTTTAATCCCAAAACCTATGTCATTTATAAATATATTAAAAAGTAAGAGTTCCAACACTGAAACCTGGGGTACACCACTGACAACCCTAGACCATTCAGAGTATTAATCATTAACCACTACGCTCTGAATACGATCATTTAACTAGTTTTCTATCCATTTACATACAGATTTTTCCAAGCCTGTAGACTTCACCTTACACATTAGCCGTGTGTGGGGGAACTGTGTCAAACGCTTTTTCAAAATCCAAGTATACCACGTTAGCAGCCACCCCTCTGTGCAAGGTTTTGCTCACCTCCTCATAAAAAGAAATCAGATTTGTTTGACAACTTCTGTCTTTCATGAATCCATGCTGTCTGTTGCTTAAAATATTTTTTCCAGCAAGAACTCATCTATGTGGTCTTTTATTAAACTCTCCATTATCTTCCTAACTATATAAGTTAAACTAATAGATCTATAATTACTTGGTAAAGATTTTGACCCCTTTTTAAATATTGGCACCACATTGGCCTTACGCCAATGCAGTGGTACTATGCCATTCATTAAAGAGTCCTTAAAAATAAGAAACAATGGTTTTGAAATGACAGAGCTCAATGCTTTAAGGACCCATGGGTGTATGCCATCCAGTCCAGGTGCTATTATTCACCTTTATTCTGTCTAAATATTTCTGGATCATATCAATTGTGAGCCAATGTGGATCATCTGGAGCTGTGTCAATATCATGCCCATTATGGACAAGAGCTCCCCCATGCTCCTTTGTATAGACAGAGCTGAAGTAGGTATTTAATAAATTTGCCTTCTAGATTATTTTGTAAAGAGCCTACATGCTCGAACCGGACATTTTCACTATTAATCAGGGGCAGACTGACAACTCATGGGGCCCTCCGGGCAATAGGGGATCATGGGGCCCCTGTGTCCTTGCCCACACTCAAAAAAGCCAATGAAAAAGGTACCAGGGGCATCTCATGGGGCCCCCTGCTGACTGCCCTAGGGCAGTACCCAAGTTTCCAAATGGTCAGTCCGTCCCTGCTATTAATATATTTGAAGAATTTTTTTGACACAAATATTAATTTTCACAAAGTCTGCTGCTTCAGTGTCTTCAGATCTTTTTGTCAGATGTTACTATGGTATACTGAAGTAGAATTACAAGCATTTCATAGGTGTCAAAGAGTCAGTATTTGCAATGTTGACTCTTCTTTTTCATGACCTCTGCAATTCGCCCTGGCATGCTGTCAGTCAACTTCTGGGCCACATCCTGACTGACGGCAGCCCATTCTTGCATAATCAATGCTTGGAGTTTGTCAGAATTTGTGGAGTCTTTTTTTTTGTGTTCACCTGCCTCTTGAGAATTGACCACAAGTTCTCAATTGTGATTAAGGTCTGGGGAATTTCCTGGCCTTCAACTTAACATTTCGATGTTTTGTTCCCCAAGCAACTTAAGTTATCACTTTTGCCTTATGATAAGGTGCTCCATGATGCTGGGAAAGGCATTGTTCATCACCTATTATTATTTTTGGATAGTTGGGAGAATTTGCTCTTAGAGGATGTTCTTTTACCATTCTTTATTCATGGCTGTGTTCTTAAGCAAAATTGTTAGTGAACCCACTCCATTGGCTGAAAAGCAACCCCACATATGAACGGTCTCAGGATATTTTACTGTTGGCATGACACAGAACTGATGGTAGCGCTCACCTTTTCTTTTCCGGACAAGGTTTTATCCGGATGCCCCAAACAATCAGAAAGGGGATTCATCAGAGAAAATGACTTTCCCCCAGTCCTCAGTAGTCCAATTCCTGTACCTTTTGCAGAATATTAGTCTGTCTCTGATGTTTTTCCTAGAGAGAAGTGGCTTCTTGTTGCCCTTCTTAACAGCAGGCCATCCTCCAAAAGTCTTTGCCTCATTGTGCATGTAGATGGACTTTGAAGCTGCCTGCTGCTATTCCTGAGCAAGCTCTGCACTGGTGGTGCCCTGATTCCGCAGCTGAATCAACTTTAGGAGATGGTCCTGGCACTTGCTGGACTCTTTTGGTCACTCTAAAGCCTTCTTCACAACAATTGAACCTCTTTCCTTGAAGTTCTTGATGATCCAATAAATGGTTGATTTAGGTGCAATCTTAGTAGCAGCAATATCCCATTTGTAGCAAAGCAATGATGACTGCTCAAAACTTGTGGCCAGGGCTGTAAGTGTAGACCATTTACATACCTCTATCATCTTGTCCTATCTACACAAGATAGCAGCTTCCTTGGCTATAAAGAAAAGAAGGGGTTAGTTCCCTTTTAAGTCTCATGAGAGATATGCCTCCTCTAAGATTGCAGTTTCATTGATGCCAGATAGTACATCTCTCACCATACTTCCGGCACTGTGACTACTGGAGTTGCAATTCTCATACTCAAGAAGCCGTCTTGTCATTTATCTGTTCCCCTCAACCCTTGGCTATTAACAGAACACTTTGTATAATACGCCAGGTCCTGTAGCAGTGTGCCCTTTTCTTGCCTTCATCAATGGCAAGCATGGGCTCCTTTAGAACTATTCCCCACAATCCCTCCTAAGTTCAGAAGGACCACACATGATGGGATAACAGTGATTAAACAAATGAGCTACCAGCAGGTGTTGGGTCTTCCAGTGCTGTGTCCTGCGTGTGGGCCACTGGTTAGTTGAACATGCAGATATCTTGCAAGTCCCAGTCATTGCCGTGCACCACATCAGCTGTACTTGGAGCGCTGAGTTCCTACTGGGGTGGACCTGTGCATGTAGCCAACAGCTAGTGCAATCAGACAAGAGTTGCCAGTTACCTCCTCAAAGCAGAGCAAGAGCGGGAACCCCTTTGGACTTTTCTGTGAGAGGGATGTTACTCTGCAGGGAACCCCAAGTTTTTAAATTGGATTGAATTGACTCTTAGAAATTGTTAACCTGTATTGTGCTGCCATCTAGCACATTCTTTAGGAACTACTCCAGGCAGCTTTTGTTCCAAATGTAGCATTGTTTTGCCTTTGTTCTGTTTCCTTGAATTCTTTACCTTCCTTTGTCTATTGCACTCCTTCAGTAAACTCCCAGTTAAAACAGACCTTTTACCCTTTCATTAAAAATAACATTAGCATACAGCTCTGCTTACTGATATGAAACAGTCTTACTTTCATTGATTAAACAAGCATGTTTTGTTTTTACTTACAATTAAGGTGTTTCCATTTCTTGGTTGAGTGAGGCACTGATGATGTAATCCTGACCTCACAGCTGCAACCTGGGAACTTCTTGTTACTTGTTCCAGGAGGGAGGCCCAGAGTTCTAGACACAGTTCTTGGAAGTAAATGAAGATGGATTCATCTTCGCTAGTGAAAAATCCCACACCAGACAAAGTGTCAACTTTATCACTTCACACTGTGTTTTGTGCATCCGATATCTCTATAGTGCGTAAATGGTGAATGACTGCAGACTGCTTCTACAAACATTTGTGAAAGAATTGGTCACTCTCAGGAACTCAGTGAATTCAAGCGTGGTAGCGTGATATTTCTGTGCAATAAGTCCATCCATGAAACTTCCTTGCTACTAAATATTTCAAGGTCAACTATTAGTGGTATTATAAAAAAGTAGAAGCAACTGGGAACAACAGCAACTCAGCTACAAAGCAGTAGCACATGTAAAATAATAGAGCTGGGTCAGCGCATGCTGAAGCGCACAGTGCACAAAAGTCACCAACAGGGGCGGACTGACAACTCATGGGGCCCCCGAGCAAGAGGGGATCATGGGGCCCCTGTGTCCCTGCCCAAACTCAAAAAAGCCTATGAAAAAGGTACCAGGGGCATCTCATGGGGCCCCCTACTGACCCCGGGCCCTCAGGCAGTCTTCGAGTTTCCAACTGGTCAGTCTGCCCCTGGTCACCAACTGTCTGCAAAGTCAGTAGCTAAAGACCTCCAAACTTCGTGTGGTCTTCAGATTAGTGCATAGAACAGTGCATAGAGAGCTTTATGAAATGGGTTCCTTGGCCAAGTAGCTGCATCCAAGCCTTCCATCACTAAGTGCAATGCAAAGCGTTGGATGTAGTGATGCAAAGTATGGTGCCACTGGACTCTGGAGCAGTGGAGACGTTCTCTGGAGTGACAAATCACACTTCTCTGTTTCGCAATCCGATGGACGTGTCTGAGTTTGGCGGTTGCCAGGAGAACAGTTCTTGCCTGACTGCATTGTGGCAAGTGTAAAGTTTGTTGGAGGGGGGATTATGGTGTGGGGTTGTTTTTCAGGGGTTGGGCTTGACCCCTTAGTTCCAGTGAAGGAAACTCTTAAGGCATCAGCATACCAAGACATATTGGACAAAGTCATGCTCCCAACTTCTGTGGGAACAGTTTGGGGATGACCCCTTTCTGTTCCAGCTTGACTGTGCAACAGTGCACAAAGCAAGGTCCATAAAGACATGGATGAGCATGTATGGGGTGGAGGAACTTGACTGGCCTGCACAGAGTCCAGACCTCAACCCGATAGAACACCTTTGTGATGAATTAGAGTGGAGACTGCGAGCCAGGCTTTCGGCCGACATCAGTGCCTGACCTCGCAAATGGACTTCTGGAAGAATGTTCAAACATTCCCATAGACACACTCCTAAACCTTGAGGACAGCCTTCCCAGAAGAGTTGAAGCTGTTATAGTTGCAAAGGGTGTGCCAACTCAATATTGAACCCATGTGACTAAGACTGGGATGCCATTAAAGTTCATCTGCGTGTAAAGGCAGGCATCCCAGTACTTTTGGCAATATAATCTATATACTGTATAATAAATAAATACTGTATAATAATAATATATATATATATATATATATATATATATATATATATAATTACAAATTATAACAGAAAGCAGATAGTGATATCTGCTCTCTGTTCTAAATGATCCCATAGTGGGCAGGAGTAGGTAACATACTATATAACAGGTGTATAAGAGTCCAGGAGTAGTTAGTAGTATAGGACCATACCACTGCTTTCATGCAACGTTTCCTGATGTAGAAACCCCATGCAACCCTGCCAAGTTCTGTACTTACCAAGATCTCTCCACTGAACTCTATAAAATTGTTTATACATGGTATAATAAAGATTCATCAGAGTAGAGGTTTGAAGCTGTTATCACTTTTGTGAAGGGGAGGTGATACATTTGTATGAATAGTTTACAAACCATTGTCAGCATGCACATTTGTAAATGTAACATGAGATTTATTCAGAGCCTAATATAAATATTGTGTAAAGAAAATATTAAATATTGGCCGCATTATTTATCTGAAATTATATATTATCATCCTATTTATAGATAGCACTGCTGGAACCATGTACATATAAAAATATAGATTTTGTTTAGATAAAGGAACCTTAGTAATTCCTTGGAATTTATTTAACCGCTTCCACACTGCCCTATAGCAGAAATACTGCTGCGCAAAATCACGTACTGTATATATAAGTGATTTTGCATTTCTGGGTAGGGGGCGTGCCCTACCCACGCCTGCGCCAACATTCGCAGCCTCAGCTGTCAATCACCGGGTCTCAGCCGGTGATTCCCCGCCGGTACCCGGCGATCTCCGAGTATTACTGATGAGAGAGAGACTTGTATGTAAACAATACAGATCTCTCCCATGTCAGCTCCTGCACACTGCTTTGTATTGCTCTGCAAAGCAGAACAATACAAAGCAGTTTGCTTACAGTGTAAAGTACACACAACCCACATAGTAAAACAGCACACAGTTAACCCTTTGATAGCCCAGATGTTAACCCCTTCCTGCCCAGTGTCATTAGTACCGTGTCAGTGCTTTTTATTAGCACTTATCACTGTATTGGTGTCACTAGGGATGTCAGCGGCAGTTAGTTTTCCCCCTCAGTGTTAGAATGCCCGCTGCAATCCTGCAGTCCCGCTATAAGTCGCTGATCACTGCCATTACTAGTACAAAAAAAAAAAAATTCCAGTATATACTGTATACCGCCATTTGTAAACGCTATAACTTTCTTGTAAACCAATGAATTTACACATATTGGGATTTTTTTTTAGCAAAGACATGTAGCAGAATACATTTTGGCCTAAATTTATGATGACATTTGATTTTTTTACTGGACACATTTAATAGCAAGAAGTAAAAAATATGGTTTTTTTTTCAAAATTTTTGGGTCTTTTTTTGTTATAGCGCAAAAAATAAAAAACATTGAGGCGATCAAATATCACTAAAAGAAAGCTCTATTTGTTGGAAAAAAAGGACGTAAATTTCATTTTGGTGCAGCGTTGTATGACTGCGGAATTGTCTGTTAAAGTAACACAGTGCCGTATCGTAAAAAATGGCCTGGTCAAGAAGGGGGGGTAAAACCTCTGGATTGCAAGTGGTTAAATTGACCATTTACCAAAAAAAAATTGGAAACATACATGTGTGTAGTAATAAGTTATTATACAAAGTGGATTAAATGGGAAACAAATCTGAGTTTATCAATGAGGTATGTTTGTATTTTGCATAATGCCAACTAATACTTGATAAACTCTTCGTAACTTCTTTTGCAGGTAAATATCTATAAATGGTGGAACAATGCAGAACTTTTCCCAAAACAGCTTGAGAAAAATAATGTTCTTTAGCAAGGGACATACATTCCACATCAATCATTATGCTACCAAAATTAGTGTGTGCTGTAAACTGCCTCCAGCATTGTTCCGGTTTCTTTCTTGCCGGGGGCTGCCATCTTGCTGAAGCCCAGAGCCCTTGAGCAGCAGTACACCTTTAGGCCAGCCTTTCTCAACCTTTTCAAAACTGAGGAACCTTTGAAATAACTTTCTGTTCTCAGGGAACCCCTGCTAATAATTACTATATCTACAACTCATGATACACTAGTGTGAAGGTCAGTGGGAAGAATACTCCTTAAATATGTGGTCATTGGGAAGAAATACCCCCTTATACATAGATAAAAATATCAATGGTGTCAGTGGGAACTTATCTGAGAGGTAGGAATTGTTCATTGTTCAGGGAACCCTTAGCAACCTTTGGAGGAACCCTAGGGTTCCATGAAACCTTGGCTGAGAAACCCTACTTTAGGCTGTCAGCAGATTGGCCTCTAGTGGCTCTAAATTTTTAGCAAAGAAAAATAGAGAGCAACTGAACATGTGCAGAGCAGGGTGAGACAGTGTATTACTGGATTTAAACAGTATATGCACTTATTTTAAATGTGTTACATAACTTTCGTTTCAATAACCCCAGTTACATCCATTTTAAAACCCAAGCTGTAACAAAAATATGTTGAAGAATCCAAGGGTGTGAATACTTATGCAAGATTCATACTGGTAAGAGGTAGTCTTCACAGTGAAAATCTCCATGGACCTGTAGTTTAAATATGTATAACATAGTACTGGACACCTCTTAGTTGCCATGGCATCTGTAAAAACATGCTCTGTCAGGTGGGACACCCTGACTTTAAAGTAGTTCTAAAGACTCCAGGTTTCGTACCTTTATGCACTCTATGCACGAAGGTAAAAAAACCTTCTGGATTTAGCAGCCCCCCCCCCCCAACACTTTCAAGAGTCCCATCGCATTGCAGCAATGTCCACAAGAGCCTTGGTTCTCTGGGGACTCTCACTCCTGATTGGCTGAGGCAGCAGCGGAAGCCACTGGATCCTGCTGCTGTCAATCGCAGCCATTGAGCCAATCAGTAGGGGGAGGGGGCAGGGCGAAGCCACTGCTGTGTGTGTCAATGGTCATGTAGAGCCGTGGCTCGAGAGTGCACCTGCTCAGGTGCCCCCATAAGAGGGAGAGGCCAGGAGCACCGGCGGGGGACCCGAAAAAATAAAGATCTGTGCTGCTCTGTGCAAAACAACTACCCAGAGCAGGTACAGTGGATATAAAAAGTCTACACACCCCTGTTAAAATGTCAGGTTTCTGTGATGTAAAAAAATGAGACAAAGATAAATCATATCAGAACTTTTTTCACCTTTATTGTGACCTATAAACTGTAACTCAATTGAAAACAAAACTGAAATCTTTTAGGGGGGAGGGGGAGTAAACATAAAAAAACTAAAATAATGTGGTTGCATAAGTGTGCACACCCTCTTATAACTGGGGATGTAGCTGTGTTCAGAATTAAGCAATCATGTTAAATAGGAGTCAGTACACACCTGCCATCATTTAAAGTGCCTCTGATTAATCCCAAATAAAGTTCAGCTATTCTAGTAGGTCTTTCCTTACATTTTCTTAGTCGCATCCTACAGCAAATGCCATGGTCCGCAGAGAGCTTCCAAAGCATCAGAGGGGTCTCATTGTTAAAAGGTATCAGTCAGGAAAAGGGTACAAAATAATTTCCAAGGCATTAGATATAACATGGAACACAGTGAAGACAGTCATCTTCAAGTGAGCAAAATATGGTGCAACAGTGACATTACCAAGAACTGGATGTCCCTCCGAAAAGACTAGAACAAAACTGGTCTGGGAGGCCGCCAAGAGGCCTACAGCAACATTAAAGGAGCTGCAGGAATACCTGGCAAGTATTGGCTGTGTAGTACATGTGACAACGATCCCCCATATTCTGCATATGTCTAGGCTATGGGGTAGAGTGGCAAGACGGGAGCCTTTTCTTACAAAGAAAAACATCCAAGATCGGCTAAATTTTGCAAGAACACATTTGAAGTCTCTCAAAAGCATGTGGGAAAGTGTGTTATGGTTTGATGAAACCAAGGTTGAACTTTTTGCCATAATTCCAAAAGATATGTTTGGCGCAAAAACAACATTGCACATCACCAAAAGAACACCAAACCCACAGTGAAGCATGGTGGTGGCAGCTGCAGCAAACTTGCTTATCAGAGTTGGGCGCGGAGTTCCCCTTTTTCTTTTCTTCTAGTGGAAGTATTCCTCAGCCTTCATTCCCTAACCCCTCCCTT